CTATGTCTATGAGATGTTCATCATAGATCGTATACCTGGAAGTAATGGGAGAAAAAAAAATGGAAGTTATTTCAATATATTAATCCCAACGGACAAATATGTAACGTTTTTAGGACATTTTAACGTTAAAAAATGTAACGCTTCGGCCCGGTTTAGTGGTCATTTCCGTGTCAAATGGAACGTAGATTTTGTGTGTAGTTTCCAGTATATTTACAACTTCCAATGGAATGATTCGTTCCACTTGTTTACTACCATACAAAAACATACTCTGACCGTATAATATGATCGCCACCCAATATGTGTATTGTACGTTAAGTTTTTGTATTTCAAATTTAATGATTTATTTACCGCAAGAAAATCCATTCTCTGCAAACAAATTAGATTTGAGTGATTTGATTTAATTTCCTGCAGAAGAATTTTTTTTTAAACGGCACTTGGCATTTATTTTTTCAAATACTTTCGTATTCATGAACGTATATGAATTTCTAATTTCGAAATCTGAAAGACATTCGAATTGAATTTGACAGTTGCCGTTCAACCATCGTCACTTTGAAAAAAGATGCAAACATCATAATTTTGTTTACATTTTAAAATGTGCTTTGTTTTGAGAATGCATCGTGGATTTTTAGTTCAAACAAACAGAATTCTTTCTTCTAATTTCAACGTATATATTGTAAATTTGCAAAGAATAGATTTATTTACGGTGAATTTTGTGCTTGTTCTTGTTTTGTTTTTAAAATAACAGAACATTTCCAAAGTCACACAGTAAGAAATCAAAGCGGCATTACAGTGTATTTTGTATCGAATTGATAGGAAGTTCATTTTATTTGTGTGGAAGTGCATTCTTCATTTTATATGGCTTTGTTGTGTGAATTTGACTGTGTATTAACTTCGAATTTGATGCCATTGGATTTTTGACTGTCAGAATATTGCGAATCGAATTCAGTTTAGCGAAAAATCCTCACAAGGCAAGTTGATTTAAACTGTTTGGCCATTCAATCATTGTTATTGTTGTACTCTCTATTGTGTGTGTTTTGTGCTTTGAAAGTGCGATTTGACGTTGTGTGTAGCCTTCAATTGTTTATATAATTATTTAACGCATTTTTTCTTTCTTTTTTCCGTTTTTTTTTTAAATTTTGAAATAGACTGCAAAATGGGTCGTCACAAGAAGGCTGATCCAAACGCCGACCAAAGGTGTATAAAGCAAGGACTGCCATCAATTATCCGTGAACGATATCGGGATGTAATTGTCGCAATCATTTCGTACTTATCGGTGAAGGCTACGAAGATCGCATGCCTTGCATCGTTACTATTTTTGATGAAGGTAAGTACACACATTTCTTTGACCAAATTTTATTTTTCGTCATTATTTCATCATTTTTTCGGCACTATGCGATCCATTTATATGAATCGATTTGATTGTTTGTCTCTCTCTCTCTATGTGTTCTGTGTTTCTTGAATAGGTCAATGAAGCACTCGACGATTTCAACTATGATTTTTTTGAAACCGATGAACCATCAACGATCATACACAACTGTTTTAAGGCCGTTCTTGTCGATAACATTGGTAACATATCGCTTATGTTACCTGGTTTCCGCAACATTGTCGACGCTGCACACATTGACTGGCCCACAAACGGTGGGTTCGGGAACGGTTTTAAATATATATGGGAGCAGTACTACGACAATGTCAAAACGAACCTGACAACGCATTGCGAGTCTCGATTGCGGAAGTTTTTTAAAATGAGAGCATTCGAACTCAACGACTACGCCATCAAGTACAATTATTTCAACAATTTGTACGGTATGATCGAATTCGAATTGCCATACTACGACGAGGAAGATATAAAAAATGCCATCAATTATACTTATCGTCGTCGAAACACCGCAATTGGCGACGTTGAACGTGAGATGCGATTGGGTGAACTATTGGATGAATTGCGTTGGTTGGGAGCACCGGACGATTGCAATATCCGTGACTTTGTGAAAGAGGATTGGTTCAAGTCGATTCGCATGTGGTCGGAAATTCAGCGCGATATTCGAAACTTTCACTTTGCATACGAAGATCGTCGCGATAAACCACAAATAAAAAACTTTGTCGTTGTGCCGATGTGCACTTTTCAGCGTCGACACATTCGAATTGACACCGACGCATTGTACGTTATCCTATCGAATGCGAAATTGGTGCCTCGAAAGTGCGGTAAACGGACACGTAAAGACGGAACAACAAATTTCAAAAACATCACGAGCAACGAATTTCGCACAAATAAAATCCTAAGTTGGAATTTATTCTTCGATGTGGAGAAAATTCTCAAACTTGTGCACAACAAAAAGGAATTCGATTCTCAAATTTGTTCCGATGGCGTATCTGTATCGTTGATGTACAAAAAACCGAAAGTACCACCAGTCGAGACAACAGATGACGAAATCAAGGCAATGTATGACAGCAATGAGTTGAAATATGCTGTTGGATGTGATCCGGGTATGCGAACGTGGAACGCTTCCGTACGACGAGATTTGCATACCAAAGAAGAGGTAAATTTGTCATTTAATAATGAATGAAAGCGATTGTGATTGTGAATACAATGTTGTTTTTGTTGTTTTCATTTTGTTAGGTGAATTTGCGTATATCCAGCAAGCGATATCACTGGGATGCGAAACAAGGCCTACGTAATGCAAAAGCCGAACGAATCACAAGATTGTTTACTTTCGAAGAGCAAGCCGATCGTAATCGAATTGCAGCTATGATTGGTGAAATGCCATCGCCAAAAGGACCATCATGGCGTTCGTACATTGAACATCGATTACGTGTAATGAATGATGGCATTGAAACATACTCAACCAAACAGTATGCACGCTTGGGACTGGACAAGCATATCGAATCGGTTCGTGCAATCGACAAAACGGCATGCAAAATGGTTCACAATCAACCATCAATTTTCTACATGGGAGCCAGCGGATCAACACCAGCTAATTCGCCGATTAAGATCAAGAAACATGTGCGATGTCCAGGCACACGGAAGCTGCTTGCGGCCATTATGAAACGTGGCAATTGCATCATTCGAATGGTCGATGAGTACATGACATCACAACATTGTCCATTGTGTTTCAAACGATTTCCACAACAAACTCGACGTGATCGATACAAGACATGTGTGGGTTGTGTACCAAATCCAATTGTTGGACTACCACGAACCATCGTAACCAATGTGAGCAAACGATTACTACAAATGCGACGAACAATTGAACGAATGTGGCGCGAGATGCGTGATATAGGCGATGTCATTGCTGCAACTCTTCGAGATGGACCGAATGCAGGTCGTTTGGTGTCAAAGAAGCAACGCTTCTTCAAAACATGGCTACCAAATGTTGCAAACGTTGAAATCGAGGGAGCTGCCGGAGCACAACCAACGCTCACAACTGTATGGCACCGTGATATCGCAGCAGCGAAGCTGATCTTTTACAAAGGTATGCAATCAATTGAAATTGATACAAATTTTGAAGCAATTGTTATACATCTAATGTGTTTTTGTTATGTATCATTCGGTAGGTGAATGCGTGGTGTTCAAGCGGACAATTCATCCAAATGTACGGAGACCACGCCGTGTTGACAACAATCAGCCATTGCCGTTGTATCGAGGTCAGAATCAGAATGTCAACAATGGACATCTGCAGCCGCAGTAGTAGCAGCCCTCATTCAACAACATTCAAACAATACTAAATTTAGAAATTAGTTTATAACAATTATTTGTTAGTTCGCTAGGCTTGATTAAATTGTGGCCTTGCCAAAGTACGAGTACCTCTTGGTATAAATTGTACTCGGTAAGTGGAGTCTATTGCATATACAATAGCATAATGATGATTATGAATCAAGTCAATTTTTTCATATCAGTCTAATTGAATTGTGCTTTCTTTTCTTTTTTTCTTTCCATTGCGACGGTAAAATTGACTGAAACTACACACGAATGCTACCCCAAATTCGACCGTAAACTTGGGCCTGGTAATGGGTGATTTGCGCTAACAATTGTTCCTTGGGATAAGTATTCATGTCAATGTGATTAAACCTTGTCGCATACTGTTGAT